CTTCAATTAAATTACGCTGCAAGTTTGTTACAATTAATCTAGTGCTATTACAGACTCCTTTAGATGGCATTAAATTTTATTATCATGTTTTTAGGGCATGAATCTGAATTGAACAACCTGACAATGCTCACTCTGGTTATTGTTTCCGTTTTTAAAAGCACTATATGTTGAGCCACCTGAGCTTGATTTGCCATGTGAGATTTTTAGCAGCAATCATTGGTCGATTTTCTAACGTTGCCATTCGGGGAGTTGTAATGAGGCTTTTTTTTGGTGCCGTGTAAGAGAAATATATATATAGATTAGATAATATTCGGGAGGAGTCTATCTATTCTCAACAATAACAATTCACTGTAAGGAAATTTATCACGGCGAAGTAGCAATTCAATATAAAAATTGCATCCGTTAAAAACAATTGGTAGTTACGGATTTTTATTATTCCCGGAAAAAAACTAAAAAATTAAATTTATTTGTTACCAGTTTTTACTCCGGTGCGCATCCCGATGAAACAATCTAGCGTGACTCACCGGTGGGTCACCCCGTCGTGAACATGTTAAATCAGTATTAAATTTGTTTGAAACAGGATTGACGCGGGCCTTGTAAATTTTAAAATACGGTAACGAAAATTAAACAAATGTTAATGAAAATTTTATTTTTGTGTAACCACCATTAAAAATTATTTAACAAAGAAAGTATATATGCATGAAAATTTGGGCTTCTACGTCACTTAACGAAAAAAGTGGTATGTTAAAATAGGAAATATCTTTCAGCATTAACCATAACTTACTAAAATTTTCTAAGGAGCTCGGTAACCCTGTTAAAAAACAGGGTTCACGCCATCTTAGACCGCAACACATTATGTGAAGACTCTTTGACCACTAATTCTTACTACCTTTTTCAAATGAATCGTGAATTCATTGGTAGTATAATTTTACTGACGTCAAACTACTAAACTGCATCGGAAGTTAACTATGACTCCACTACGTGAAATATATCAACTAATTTCTGACAAAATGTTTATCCTAAATGTAGCAACTAATTCCGGACTGAGGGAGTATCAGCTTTCTTAAAACTCATAAATCAACTTTTTCGTATATTTATTAATAACGTAGTTACTACTAACTTGTACGGTCATTGAGAAAGATTTCATAAAATAAATGTGTAATAATACTTGATGCATTAAAAAAAATTTAAAAAATTAAACAGCTTTGCCAATATTTTGACACTTAAAACCATAGTTGCCAAATATATGGTATAAATACAAGTTTTATTTATTTATTTATCATTGACGCTAAGAAAAATTAAGATTTTACTTTTAAAATCAGTTACATACATGCCATAAGAATACACTGTCAGTAGGAATTTTTTTTTCAAAGATAATATGAGTTGGTTCTTGCTTAATAAATATTTATATTATTACCATACAGTATGGAAATTTTACGATATTTTTTTTCCTCGTGTAATAATAAAAATGTTCTTAAGTCTAAAAACTTCAATATTTACTTTTAAATTACAAGGAGGACTTTTTTTAAATTCTAAGAATAATTTTTAGAAGAATTTAGAATATAATTTTTGAAGTGAATAACGTACCACTGTCTTATTTTTATTTTCTTAACTGAGTGACTTAGAAAGAAAATTTTTGTTAAAAAACACAAATTTTCAATTAAAGTAAGTCTCTCTTGACAACAGTGTATAAATACTATCCCATTTCTCTAGGATCGTTTTTTTTAATCCTTTCAGCATCTTTTTCTTTTTAAAAAATAATAGTTATTGAAAAAATGTGAAAAAAGTTAACACTCGATTTGAGCTGTATGTGAGTTAGTAATAAGGGAAAATTGCAATTCTCTCCCCCAAAAAAAGCTCAAGCTAGATTGACAACATGATAACCTATACTCAGAAAAAATCCACTAGATTATGAAAAAATTTATCTTTTTTGGGGGAGCTTTATTGAAACACATAAAAACGTTAATTTTTATGTGTTTCAATAAAGCCTACAAATATCTCTATCTGTTCCTTTTTGATATGAAACAATTCGTTCCTACTTGATATAAAACTATTTGTTCCTATTTGATATAAAACTATTTACTCCTTTTTGATAAAAAAAAAACTATTTAATCTCATTTGATATAAAACTATAAGTTTTTATTTGATATAAGACTAATTGCTTCTATTTAATATAAGACTACTTACTTCTATTTTGATATAAAACTATTTACTCCAATTTGATTTAAAACCATTTATTTCTATTTGACATAAAACTATTTATTCCTATTTGATATAAAGCTATTTATTCCTATTTGATAAAAAATACTATTTGTTTCTATTTGATATAAATTTATTTGTTCCTATTTAGCGTAAAACTATTTATTCCTATTTGATAAAAAAAACTATTTATTCTTATTAGATATAAATTATTTGTTTCTAATTGATATAAAACTATTTGTTCCAATTTGATATAAAACTATTTGCTCTTATTTGAAATCTATTCCTATTAATTTAAAAACAATTTATTAATATTTATCATAAAACTGTTTATTCCTATTTGATATAAAGCTATTTATTCCTATTTGATAAAAGAAAAAAATTTGTTTCTATTTGATATGAAATTATTTGTTCCTATTTGGTACGAAAGTATTTACTCCTATTTGATAAAAAAAAACTATTAATTCCTATTTGATGTAAAACTATTTGTTCCTATTTGATACAAAATTATTTGTGTCCATTTTGATACTAAACTATTTGTTCCGAATCTACATCATTACGAAATGGAAGGATATTAAATAATTTACATACTGCAAGTTTTATTGTCCTCATTTAAAATGAAAGACTCTGAATCACATTTGCAATTGAATCCTTCTTCTGATAGACGACATTTCTGCTCACAATCGTTGAATGATGGAAATACACAAACCGCATCTAAATGAAAAGAAGAAAAAAAAACATATTTTTCAAAAAATCTTCATATCACCGTGTGGAAGTGTTATGATTCTGTTACATTAATGCTATTACTTGCACAATGAGCTCCATTGAACGAATAGCCTTCTTTGCAAGAACAATAAAAATCACTGATTCCTTGTCCTTCAGTACATATCATATCATCTATAGGGCATGGGTTGGCAGCACAGAAACTTGCTGTAATAATTTTAAAAAAAGTCACATTAATCAATCTTAATATTTATCGCATTATTAAGATTCTTATTATGTAAGATAAAATACCACTTTATAAAATATCAACTGAAATGTACTCTGATTGCACAAAACTAAACTTACTCTATATTTTTTATCACTCATAATTACAACAATAGGAATGTTTTCTACAATATAAAGAATACATTTGACATTGTATATTTTCGTTACAATAGTTTTTAAAAAAAAAAAATTTAATTTTTAATATGACTAATATAGCAAATGAGAGCATTTTTTAAGCTCTAATTGTAAAAAAAAAATCTAGTTTGTTAAAATTTTTCATCTCAATATATGTATAGGGTTTCAGCGCTGTGAAAAACTCTGCCTAACAAGGCTTATTTATAGCCATATCTTCTATACAAGATTGTTTCCTACTGTTTATAAATGTAAATAAGAATTCGTAATCACGAACATTAATTTCTTGTGAAAATAAGCTAAGGAAGTTACTTCTAGATTTTCTTTCGTTTCCGGTATACAAACAGCTCTGATCATTGAACATATAAACATTAATAATTTAAGAAAAGACAAAAAAAACTGATATCAATAACTGAAAAACCGATATCAATATTGTTATCAGTCTTTCAGCTGAAGAGTTTTTCCATTCGAGCAATTTCACTTAGACTTATTCGTAATAATAGACACTGAAGGACTGGGTTTCGATTCTCAGTGGTGTGGCTTGAAGCCTACTCAGCTTCAGACCAATGAGTACCAGCTTGTCTGAGAAGTAAAAGCGGCCTGTGCGTAATCCTGACCATATTATCACAATCATAGCGTTGGGCTCGAAATTATAAAGCCCTAACCCATTGATTGTTCGATTTATCTAAGAGTAAACAGTCAATTTAAAAACTGGTTGTTTCTTTATTAAGAATGATAGGAAAAATTTTTAGTTTATTTGTAACCAAATCTAACCCTACTAAATGCTTTGTCATTTATGAACTTTGGCAGTTAATAATGCGTTATCTCTTTCTGAAATAGACTTACAGCAAAATATTTTGGAAATCGATTTTTTTATATTCGAATTTATTGAAAGACGAGTCTCATCAGATTAAGCGATTGGGTTAAACTTCATGAATCCATTGCGAGAAATACTTTATATTAACAACCGACATTTAATTTTTAATTTCACTACCAATGAAGAAAACTTTCCTTAAGAACCTGAAGGTTCGAACAATAACGAATTTATTAATATATATTGTACGAAAAAAACACCTACCTTCACACTTGTTGGTGTCATTATTTCTTTGAAAATTGTCTTGGCAAATACATTTGCTGTTGACGCATTGTTCGTTTACACCACACATCATGATAGGACAGAAATCAATCTCTGAAATTTGAAATATTTAGCATACAAGCTCAAATATTCGATGGACTTAAATAACCCTTAAAACAGAGTTATAACACTATTTTACGACTTAAAATAATTTATTTAGCATAAGTAGCAATAAAAACTAGAACTAAGACAGACCTTGACGAAGTTGGTATGCGAATCTGGATAGTTTACATTAAACTTCTTAACATTAAAAATTGCTAGCGAGTAATTGGATTTTTCTTCAATAATTTTCTGCGTTGTGTAATTTTAAAAATATTTTATTTATGGAGGAAATTAGTTTTTTTAACTATGTAACAGAAAAAATCGAAATTAAATGTAATTTTTAAACTAATAAGTATGTTGAATAAGATTTTTTGCGCTAAGTAATGGATTAAAATAAAGCTCAATAAAAAACGAATGTTTAATTAATTATAAAATAGATTATTAGAAATAAAGAAAAATTAAAGCAAACTTGAGAGATTTGTTGAAATTTAGAATACTTTTCAATGTAATAACAATAACAGAAAATTATAATTTTCGACTAAAGTATACACTACACCATATGCAGGGGGGGGGAAATCGGTTACCTCGATTTCAGCGAAATTAGAGTTTTCCTGTAAAAACTCAGAATTACACAAACTCTGAAATACGTTTTACCAGTCAAGAAGAAGAATCTACCATACAGGAGTGCTGTAGTTGATTAGTTTACGACTTCTGTGTGGATAAGTTTGTTTTATTATACCTGCTCTCTAATATCCTTTGGTTTTAAACCCCTATTTATTAGTCATTAGAGGAATGAAAATTAGTTTTAGCCTAGCTAATTACACGCTTTTAAACAATCATACCCTAACAATTAAAAAGGATTTAGCCTGATAAGTAGCACTGGTAGTGTAGGGGAAAAACTGGGTACTATCAGCTCTGGATCCATCACCCTTGATCTGTGTTGATGCTGATCCCACAAAAGCTGGGTGCAGTAGAGGAAGATAATAACTATATTCAATAATGAACAAAGGCTTTAGGCGTCCTATAGGACAAAATTTATCATCCTCAAAGCACAAAAAATCTTTATATTTGTAAAAGTTTTGAAGACCTTCCGCACAAAATTGTAGTTCGTATTTAGATATAAGGAGATCTCTACCATTTTCGTTTGGAATAAAAACATTTATAAACGTTCTATTTTTGTAAAGAATTTTGGTCGGGCCTTCCGAGTTTCGGGCACCCGGAAAATTGCCCCTCTCTTACTCCTCCCTCTTGATTACGGCCCTTACTGCATCACATGTAAATTAAATGCATATATTTCATAAATTATCATAAACGATAGAAATGCCAGCTACTTTTTCACTGAAACTCTAGTATTTCTAAATTTCCCATAGAGTTAACATGCATGCCAGTTTTATCCCATCAATGGGGTAAAGCCGGGTAGTTTGACTTTTTCTAGAAAAGAATCATACATTAAAAAATTAGTTCATCTATTATTTTTTGTGAATTATGTATTGCATACAACTAAGCAATTTATATCTAGGTCAAGGAGTTAAGCTCCAACAGGCTTTCGAATCTTCGAACCCCACCTTCTCCTACATATTATAAAAATGGTAGTAAAAGAGAATGTTAAGCCTTTAGAGAATTTGATAACAAATCCATCTGGAGATCTAAAACAGCGTAAATTATAAAATAATCTTCATTTTTTATGCTTCATTTTTCTTTTTTAAAAAAATCATATAAATAGAACACACTTTTGCTTCGATAAATTAAATTGCATTTTTTGTGTTCCCAAGAGTATTTGAGAAATAATGAAAGAGATTTTAAATTGAGGTTATTGCTAGTTAGAATTTTCTTTTTCATAACTTTTAACGGTCCGGTGTGGCAGTTTTCTTGGTTATATATTCTTTGTGTAATAACCGCGCCTGCTAAAAATTCACTCTTTTTGGAAGCATTTCTTCTAGTGCTACCTAAGTATAAGTTCTAATATATTATTCTTTACCATGTTAATGATTCAAAAGTTTATATAAAAAGCCACTTTATTTCAGCTTTCTCGCTGTGAGGCTTTAAAGAAATTGGCAAATTTAGTAAAAGTTTTTACATTTTTAGTTTTTAATTGTCTACCAATCTACAAAATATTTTCAAAGGCATAGTAGTTGGCAACACTAAAAAATATAAAGTGGTGGTCACAAATATATTAAAGGATCAATGTTCTTCTCCCTTTCGATATCATTACTAACACGTCGAATGCCACGCTAATGGCTTGCTCGTCTGGCCACACGGTAAATAACTACAAACTAAATTTGCAAATATTAGACAGATTTTGCTAGTTTTTCAAAAGGTTTAGCATGGCATATTTCAATAAATGGTGAATTATATAAGCCTACAAATTGCTTATAAATAGTGATGGACAAAAATCTACTAAATTGAATTTATTAAACCAAGAATTACAATTAACTACCACTTTAAAATATTCATTCGTGTATATAAATAAAACTATTTTTGTGTGTTCTATATTGTATTAATTTCTTGAAATTATTTTAATAACGATAATAATATAGAAATATTAAAATTTTACTCGAATTATGTGTCTCTAATAATCTTGGATTCGCCTGTCACCGGTGACCCCCGTAGCGCTAGGAGCAAACTCAGTGCCAGTCACCGGTGACCACCATGACATTCAATGCTTTAACATTTTCCACGACCTGTGAGATACGTTACACTGTGTTTTCTAATATTATTTTTACCTTATTTAAATGATGCTCAAAATTGACCTTTATTTAGCTATAAATCTGTGTTTGATTTTAGTACTGATATAATAACTACGTTCTCTTTCCTGACGTTAGTATTTCAATTCAGATTTATTCTTCTAAATTTTTGGTACTATCTAAATTCCTACATTTCGTATTTAAAAAAAACTGTCATGGTTGTTTATCTGTATTCTTTCAATAAGTAGAACAGAATAAACGAAAATAAAAAAAAATGCATAGTTAATAAATCATTAAATTCAAACACTTTTCGTATTCGAATACCGAACGTTAAAGTGAATTTAATGAATTCAATCAATTATTACCAAGACAAGTCCTTTTGCCGAAATCATAGTAAAATCCTTCTTCACATTGACATTGAAATGTTTTTAATCCACTGTTGCTTACGCAGGGAACATTTCCACAAAGTACATAACCACCTTGAAGGACACAGTAGTCTGGATTTTCACACCGTTCACCAGTGTATTCCTCGGAACAGTTACAATGGAAAGTATGATTGGATCTACTACAAAGGCCATCATTTGCGCATGGATTTGGATAACAAGGAGGAAAGTTTTCTGCAAGAAGAAACAACAAGATCAATTTTACTGTAAACCAAAACAGCTTTTTCATTAAGAATAACTATGACCAGTTTTGCCATATTATTTTGAAGCCTCTGCAAGTTTTGAATGACCGAACGAGGCTTTGCATACATAGCTTAAAAATTTGTCGAAATTGGCTCCGGAGATGGTATTACACTGATGGAAAACAATTCTTTTTTCCATTGCATTGGATTTTTGAACGGATCATAGCTATTTAACATCACTGATTTCAAATCTGCAATCAGTTTCACTCAAGAAGCTAACGTTTTTCTGCAATTTAATAAAATATTCCTAACCCGGAATTTCTAAAATTCTTTCCAGCGATTGTCTCCACTTCTTTGATACGCCAGTGGTAGAAAGAAGGTTGTTGAACATTTCAGTTTATGATGCGATTCATCAAGGTCATGTTTGTTTTTTTTTACTCAATATGTTATTTTCAAAGAAACAGACAAGTATACATGCATTTATATAAACTTATACATCCTTTATAAGCTTGTACATTCAGACGAAAAGTAAACTAAACTAAAAATACCATTTGGAAACAAATCTGAAGCTTTCCGGACAAAAGTGCTTTCAGATTTGTGCAATTCCGTACGCGAAATAGGTCAAATCAAATGTATGTGTAAATGCACCGAAAGATTTGTTCCCTAGTGTTATCTAAGGACTTAAAAAGTCTGGCTAAAAATAATGATTCGACAAAAAATCTTATAAGGACACAATGTATGGGAAATACACATGCATAAAAGATTTGTGAATTCTGATTTATTTTTACATTTTCCTAAGAGTGTGCTTGTAACTAATAATAACAGGAAATAGTCTTCTAAATTTAATACTAATTTATTCTCGCCAGAAAATTAGAAATCAAGTAAATTATCCGTACCGAACAATATCACGTGATGTTATTCTGGGTTAATTTTGCCATTGAATATGTCCAAGAAATTGTGCTTGTTATCAATATGTTGCGAAATCCAATTAAAAACTAAAAACAATTAAAAATTGTAATTTTTTTTTGTTTATTTTTATGTGATACAAAATATTTGACTATCGGGACGCAATAAGAAGTTAAATAGTTACATTAAATTCCAAAACTGAGGTATGTGTGTTTTTTAAAAATAAAATGATATTTTTAGCTTAAAATACTAATTAGTTATCACTTTTTTTTATTTTCTAAAAGAACGCTTCCATTACTGCACTAACGGGGTAAAAAATTCGGCGAGCATACATCAAAATTTAACGACTTATTTCAATCAAAATTTAGTGAGCACTTCTGTTTCAATTCTCTAAGAATAGGGTTTTTTTCTCTGAAAAGCTCGGGAAGATATGATTGCTCAAAAATCTTCGTGTTTCATCAGTTTTGAAATTCTTTCGTCAATCAAAAATTAATTTCAAGATTTAATACAATTCGAAAGATGATAACCACTTCCAAAAACGGTCTTATTCGGTTATATGTACGAGTATGTTATAAATACCACATCTATTCCATCAGTAAGTTAATAATCGGCCATAATTGTAACCACAAATTACTCTCCCAGTAAATACAGAAATAACATTTACCAGCCGTTTTAAATGCCTATAGAACGAATGTCATGCAAGTCAAACAGCTCTTTAATGTGCAATATGTTCAATTAATCAAAATTTGCCCCAAATTGCTTTTAGGAGAGCTGAACGAATTAATTAATCAGTGGTTTCAAAGGTTTGTATTGATTAAATACCACGAAGAATAACTGCTCTTCGATGTGGGAAAGTTTAGAATCACTAAACCTTGCACCAAATTACTCATACTGTAGCTAAAGGAATTACATTAGTCATAGGCTTCATTTCTTTATTAAACCAATGCCAAGACGAGCAACAATTCTTTAGAGTACAAAAGGTTAGGTGCATCTATAACTGCTTCCACAATATTTATTACAATTACATTAACCAGCTGTTTTAAATGCTCACTAAACCAATGTCAAGACGAATAACAACCATTTAGTGTGCAATAGGTTAGATACATCTAATTTATTCCACAATAGTTACAGCAGTTACATTAACCACAGTTATAAATGCCTATTAAACCAATGACAAGACGAATTACAACTTCTTAGTGCGCAAGTTCAGACGAATAAAAACTTGCTCCAAGGTTTTTATAATGCGGGGTATTAATTCGATTTTGCATTGTATGAATTTTTTTATAAATCTTTCAATAAATAAATCGAAAAAGAAATTGCTTCTTACTTCGGCAGGTGCGCATTTCAGCATCCCAGTAATGTCCATCAATGCAATCACAATAGGATGAGATTTCTTTAAATTTGCAAGTTCCTTTATTTCCACACTCCGTATCATTACCATGTCTATCGTAGCACGTATTTTCTTGCTTGCAGTCCTTATCCAAATAATGACCTGAACAATTGCAGGAGTAGTCACCAGAGGGTAGAATCTCACACAACCCATGGTTTTTACATGGGTTTGGAATGCAGGGAACTTTTTCATCTGCAATACAATAAATTTATGTAAAAATTGAAACTTCGCACTCGTACTTTTGTCGGCTAATTAAAACACTTTAACTTTACAACTCGTATTTTGTTACTTAATTTTAGATACTATATCTAGCAATCTTTTAATAAAGTGGTCTTTTAATATTAACCAATAAAACTATATGTCAGGGATGGCAACTGCTCTGCTCTTAGAAAAAGATTTCACAAATGGTTAGCAAATTAATGTTTAAAGATTGCAGAAAATGGTGCATGCAATTTAATGAGGGATACTAATGAGAATATTTAGTGCAATTATATTAGGTTTCATAATTTTTATCAGGTAGTAAAATTTATGTTTTATTAAAATTAGTTAAATTTATGTTTTAATTAAATTAATTAAAATTTTGTTTTATTAGCTTAAATTGAAAAAGTTTAATTTGCAATAAAGTTAAATTGTATTGTATTATAGAACCAAGCAGGAGGTGTATATTAAAGAATTGTTAGAAACATAGAGATATGAATTAGGCGTTTCAAATAAAGTTAAAGTTTTAATTTAGAACCCTGGTTTCATATTAAAAATTATAACAGAACGAATAGGATAATAAATTAATCGTATCGTTTAAAATATTAAACTTTTGTTGCGTTGTATAAACATAAAACAAGAATTATTTGGGATAATGGTCATTTTAAACATCGCTTTTATTGTTAGTTAGCTGTTAAAAAAAATAACTTTTTATTTAGCATACAAGTGCTTATTCCATACATTAGCTTAGAATTTTTATATTTTTATTTAAAAACAACTGTGTAAGAAAGTGGTAGGATTTTTTTTGTCTCAAATATATATTTCCATTTGTTAGCAAATTTGAAAGTGAAGCAAAAAAATGGTTATCAGGAGGAGTAAAATTCCTTGCCTAGTTTTCCCTGTCAACAAATCGAAATTTACTTTAAATTTGTGTAAAAACCTCACATTTTCATAAACTATAACTTCATACTATTTTGGAATAGTACATACGTTATTTTCCTAACCTTAAAATATGTTTTCAGGGAAACTTTAGTCCGATTGTTAAGTTAGACTTGAGTGTTTCTCTTGTAAGTTAGTATTTCTGCTATGTTTTGAAAGGTTATTCTTCCATTGACGCTTGCAGTATAAGTATCATTTAAACAAAAATAAATAAATAATTTTCAAAATTTAAAGTCAAATTCGACTTTTAATGAAAAAAATCATAATTGATTTCAATAAATGTTGAAAAATATTACCTTCACAACGACGTTCCTCTTCATTCCAATATTTTCCCTCAAAACAAGTACAAATCTTTAAGTTATTCTCTTCTTTTCTTTCGCATCGACCACCAGGACAATCATCTCCATCGCCACAATTGTTCTTAATACTGCAAGTGGATCCTTCATATCCTTTTGGACAATCGCACTTGAAATCACTATCCTTAACAATCGTGCATTCACCACCATTGTGGCAAGGGTTGGGAAAACAAGGTGGTTCAGAATCTAAAAGGTAATGTAACGTACATCTAACATGTTAAAGACTTTATTTCGAAACAATAATGAGTTACAGAAAAATTAAATAATAATAAAAAATAGAAGTATATAATTTTTCGTTTAATTTATAGTGTCTCTCGTTTTAGCTACCACACAAAACAGGATTCCCTCGGATGTAGAAATATCCTGTAGTGGTAACGAAGAAGGAACAAATCTCAAGTGCGTAGCATTTGTGACCACCATTTTATTTTGTGAAGATCTTGTAACGATAATATGTATGAAAACTCTAGTCTTTCAGAAAATTAAGCAATTAAAAACTTAAGAATTTTAGCTATTCAAAAAGGGTTAAAATTTCGATGGTAAAAATTAGTTGTGACAGACGCATGTCAATAAAAATTCAATGCCGCATTGAAGTAAATAGGAGATAGCATTTTAGGTCTAATTATCTTAAATATGACAAATATGCCCTAAGTGCGACACAAAAAGGAAATCTTCAGATTTGACGTAAATATTTCAAAAAATATAACCCGCATCAAAAACATTTTAATATATTCAAACTTCTGGGGGTACTGGATTGGAGATCGATAGCTCTCTCATTCAGGTCAAAATTACGATCTGTGGATGAATGAATGGATATATAAATGGATCCGCCCTACAAACAGGTGTGACGTATGGTATAGCAGAAGTCGAATTCTTGGCCATAGATTGCGCCACTGAAATTCAAAAAACACACACTCTGCCTTAAATTTGCTCGGTTTCATTCAGCAGGCTTGCCCGTGAGTCAAGTGGCATTAGCACCAACGAACCCACCACATTTTAATCTATGAATGTTCTTCAATCAATTCTCTAAAAATGAGCAAAATCTCATATAGTTTCATGTAATGGTTTTTCAGTTATGTCAGTGAAAAACACGATCGCTGATAATTCTCTGAAACGGTGATGACGGCTGCAAAAAAACGATTATTTTAATATAGGAAGGCATACCCTGCAACTGCTACGGAATTTCCGTAGTTTCAAAAATCTTCTTTTCAGACGGTAACAAAATTAATGTCTTAATATTTAAAAGAAATTCATTTTAGCGTAACTTGTCCACTATTACCAGAGATGCCAACTTGCTCCGGACAGCAAATATATATTTTAAAGTGGTGGTTTATCATTTGTGATTCCTGGATTAATAAATTCAATTTAGTAGATTTTTATCCACCACTATTTCTAAATAATTCGTAGGCTTATATGATTCACCACTTTATAGTACATACGTTATGCTATACCTTTTAAAAAACAAGCAAAAATAGTCAAATATTTGCCAAATTTATTTTTTTGTTATATACCGTTTTTTTAATTATTTTGGCGTGTCCGGAGCAGTTGGCATCTCTGTATTACTTATAAAATTGCAGACCATATGGCTTGATTCTTAAGTTCTGATAAAAGTTTTATGAGAGATCCATTTGCTTGGTTCGCTACCACTAGAAAGAATTATTTTCAAAATCCTCATAAGTTGGAGGTTATGTAGGAAGGTAATAAAAAGTGCTGTTAAACATTAAAAGTAAGTTTAAAATTTAATTTTGTCTTGTTCACGCACTCTTTCAATCGTACAAAATTTTTATTTACTTAAAAATTGAAGTAAGTGTCTTCAGTATGTAATTAAATTGATAATTGTTTTTCAACTTCATGCAACATTCGCTTGTATTAGAAACCAAACTGTATTTACCGATTCATTGTTGCACTTTTTAAATTCTTCTTTTTCATAACGGAAAAGCGAGGGAGTTTTGAAGACGAGCTAATTAGCGTCTTATCTCTCAATGTTTGATGAAACTGGCTCGTTTATAATCGGAAACGGGAGATCCATAAGGAGCGATGAACCAATAGACTTTTCAATGTCAAGGAAAGGATAAGATTCAAAGAAGATATGAGAATTGAGAAGTAGATGTCTGATATGATACTTTGGCATACTTTTGTTCATTAAAAAAGTAATTCTCTATAATGTTATTTTGTCTTCTAAAAAGAGAGAAAATAAATTTTCATAAATATGCCAAATGGCCAAGCAAAATTTGCCGTATAATGAAAACCTTTGGGAGTTCATCATCGACCTCCCATCCCAGCTCCCCTGTATTTAAGTTGTGTGGTATTAAATTGTGATTATGTGAATGTGTTTTTTATCCCAAGGTGGGCTTGATTTTTTTCGGGAACGCATCTGGACAATCTTAGAAAACAAGATGGGAACCAACGAAACTCTTCTGACAGGCGACCTACCGGTGAATCAAATTCGAGCATCCTTATTAGTTTGATTCAAAATCTTAAGCTAAATATTGAAACGTTAAGTAAAACGATAAATAATTTTCTGGGAGACGTAAATCTGCTTAAAGAAGATAATAATCTACTGAAAAGTCAAATTAAACATCTTAATTATGCAAAGATGTTCGAGAAAAGGAAACGGCAAGTGCGCTTACCATTTATAGTATGTCTACTACTTCTGAAAATAGAAAAAGAAAAAATGGTATAGGAGCTTGATTCTAATTCTTCCAATGAAACTATTGTAAAACCAACTACTGAAATTAATTCCAATTCAGATTCTGAAATACATCATAATAAAAAATTGAGAACTGCTAATGCAAAAGACGTCAGTACGATTCAGTCTTTGGAATAAACTGGTTCCGCCTACTTTTGACGAAAAGATAACATTTATGAAGATAACGACTGCAAGGAGTCAGAAACTGAAAACATGGAGCGAAAAAATAATTTTTAATTACCTGCTATCGAAAGAGATCAGAATACCACCAATACTTATTAAAAATAACAACTATAGATAGAATGAAATAAATGATTTACTCAAAAAACATGATGTTACGGGAATCACCGGTAATATTCCAGATGACCAGATAAATTTAAAAGTGGATGGTATAGAATTCTATAGCTTTGTCACGGACTTAATCCAAAAGTTAAATATAAAATATCACACGTTCCAATTAATGGAGGAGAGACTCTTGAAAATAGTCTTAACACTTTCACGCCGGGGTGACCCACCGGTGGGTCACGCTAGATTGTCTCATCGGGCGGCGCACAGAAGTAAAAACTAATAACAAATAAATTTCATTTTTTAGTTTTTTTCCGGGAATAATAAAAGTCCATAACTACCAATTGTTTTTAACGGATGCAATTTTTATATTGAATTGCTTCATCGCCGTGATAAATTTCCTTGCAGTGAATTGTTATTGTTGAGAATAGATTAACTCTTCCCGAATATTATCTAATATTGAAATAGTTCTTCTACCAGTATTTTCTCTTTTCCGTCCCGCTTTCAGGCGCAACACCCGGTGTGAACGTGTTAAAGAACATACCAGTTGAGTATGAAGAAGCTGATTTTTTTCTGATCTTGCGGCGTATGGTCTTTCACCAACACATGTCAAGCAAATGGTTAAATACAGGAATGGCCTTAGAATTAACTGTCATTAAACGTAGTCACTCTTCCCAAAAATGAACAGAACAGAGGTATTTACAATCTTACAAGATTAAGATATCTTATCATCAAACTTAAGAACTATCGAGGAAGGCGATGCGTCACTCAGTGCTTTCGCTGCCAGCATTTTAATCATGTTCAGCAAGCTTGTAACCACGACGCAAAATGTTTAAAGTGTAGAGAGAACCATCTTTCATTCCAGTGTGCTAAACCGAAAGATCAACCGGCAAGGATGGCTCCCACCCAGCAAATTACAAGCAGTGAGTCAAATGTACCCAATTCGAACCTAAACCCAATTGCAGTAACTATACTGAAAACAATGCCATCTACAACAACAGAACAATCTCAACTAAGTCCTATGCTGCTGCTCTAACAGAAAGCAAAATACGTAAAATCAAAAACATCACCAGTCCCAGTACAGGAGACTACTTTTTCAGCTATGAGCGTCACATAAAAACGAAACGAAATCGACTTAATTTTGCATCTTCCTTGACTGTACCTGTAACAGGTTTGATACCCAAAATTGACATGATAGTCATCAATAAATAGGAAAGGCAATCACATCAAATTCAGATGTCTATTTTTTGATAGTTTTTTATTTTTTTTATTGTTTTCTTATTAGTCATTGCGAGTTTACTTGTATCCTTCAACTGTCTGGACATACTCGTAAAAAAAGTTTTTTTTTTTTGCTATTTTGTTGATTGAATAGCAAAATTCGCGTATCAAAATTAATGTAAATTTAATTTAAAGAAGTTAAAAGTTCAAAATATTTTTCAATTTAGAAGGTATGTGAATAATCAGAAAGCACCTGGTCAAAAATTATTTAACACTTTCACGCCGGGGTGACCCACCGGGGGGTCACGCTAGATTGTCTCATCTTGGCAGCGCACTGGAGTAAAACCTGGTAACAATAAATTTCATTTTTTAGTTTTTTTCCGGGAATAATAAAAATCCATAACCACCAATTGTTTTTAACGGAGGCAATTTTTATATTGAATTACTTCTTCGCCGTGATAAATTTCCTTGCAGTGAATTGTTATTGTTGAGAATGGATTAACTCCTCCCTAATATTTTCTAATATTGAAATAGTTCTTCTACCAGTATTTTCTCTTATCCCGCACCAGTATTTTCACTTTTCCCGGCGTGAACGTGTTAAGTATCATATTTTTTTGTGACACTTTTAAAAAGTAGGTAATTATCCATTTTATGCAAGTTTTGCTATTTAATTCGTTACCAGTTTATTAAAACTTATTCAGAAAGTGGTTGGCATCCCTGCGTTTGTCCCAATTACCAACCTTATCGATGTGCGACAAAGCGTTGAATTGTTTTTTTCGTCCTCCGAATTAATTTGGTTGATAACCCAAGATACAAATATTGAGATTAAAATATTTCAATGGATACTATTTGTTACATAAAGCACACACCGTCGTATTTGATTTGAATACTAAGTGGCAGGTGCACGCAATTTCAATATTATAATAACCAGAGATGCCAACTGCTCCTTACCCGCCAAAATAATTAAATAAACGCTAAATGGCTAGTAAATACAGTC